ACCAATGGTCAAGATTGATTGCCTATCTGTCAACAATGGGAGGTAGAAAATGAGCATTGGCTATTATACAGGCAACAGATATGCCCAACTGAAGATAACTCAGTAGCAAAGGAGAAGAGAATAGTGAAAGGACACTGAGTGTCAGGAAACTCTAGCTGTAACTGTATCCAGTGCAGGCTGATTATAATTAGCAATAGCAGTCACAAGCATGAGCAGTAGCAACCAGTGCTAGAATGAAGTCCATCCATTGTGCAGTTTGGAAATTATTATTCCTCTCAATGAATGATTTCAAATAGATATAGTGGACTTGTGAAAATGAGTCATTTATTCCAACTTTATGCATTATTTAGATGAAAGCTGCTATATATAGGAAATATAAAGTACTTTTTGTCCTATTGGCTGACATAAATAGCATTATTATGCTTTGCATTGATTTTTGTAGTCTGATGAATACAAACCACATGTTTGCAAAATTTTGTGTTCCAACAGTCCTGTATTTAACTTATTGAACAGAAGTATACATTAAGCATCTGCAACCTGACTTAATTGCCTTTCAGTCTCTAAAGATGCATTTAACACTTCAACAGAGCTAGATAAAACATATTGAACTTATTGACCAGGAAAAACTTACTTCTTTTGAATCTATAGATCTGACACAGTGAAGTCTGGTGAAGAATGAGAGAGATTGAGACATTCAAGACAGAGCATGTATATGGTGTTCTTTTTCTTTTTTCTTTTTTAATTAGTAGAGAACTTCAAGCCCCAATGTACTTAATTGTATGCCTTCATTATTCTTGCATTATACATATCTATAGGACTACATTCTAGATTCAGCCTTCTTAACCTTGGTGCTGTTGATATTGTGAGCTCTGTAATTCTCGTGGGGGACTTTTCTGTGTATTGTAGGCTCTTGAGTAGCATACCTATTCTCTACCCACTAGATCCCAATAGTAGCACCACAAACTTGTGTCAATAAAAAATTTCTCCATATATTGTTAACTATCCCCTGGGGAGGGTGTAAAATTGCATTCAGAGCCAGGCACTCAGTGCAATTTTGAGAACCACTCAGTGGGAACCACTGCTCTAAGCTGAAAGGATGTATACAGAAGAAGGTTCATGTGCATGCTGTTTGAGCAGGCAACTGCTCAGTACAGTTTTGGGTGCTCTACAGATAAATCCCCTCCTTTTGCTTTGATCATGAATTGATCATCAACTCATAGATGTTTTAATAGATCCCTCATACAATACTGTGGAAGATCTTGCCAGTAAACTGAGAGATGAGAGCTATATTATCATATGCTAATATTTTGGGGATAAGAGGAAATGAAAACTGACAGTATGAATGTTGAGGTTGAAGACAAATATCACTTCAGTTTTTTTCACATGATCCTTTAATATAAATAATGAATAAAAGACATGAATTCTCTCTTCTCTGTCATTGCTTCTACTATTATACTTCTGGAGTTTGTATATGTGTGGGTTGTAAGGAGGGAGTGTTCACTCTAGTTATTCTATGTGCTTGGAGTAGTTTCTGGTGTTTAAAGTCCCCAGAAGCCTCAAAATAAAAACATTTTGATTTAAAAGGTACAGTTGTAGACAGGTGGTAATGTGTAGCACAGTGGAAAACAACTGAGCTTAATGATTTGAAGACATGGCAGAAGGTGGATACTGTCATGGATTAATGTGTCATGCATGTCCAATTTGCAGACCATTTTCTTTATCTATAAAAGGCAATGATAATAGGTGTAAAAATCCAACATACAAGGTTTTATAATGGCTTGCAATTTGTAAAGATCTACACTAATGTTGGTAAATTATCATGGATTCAATGTCTTTGGTGATTTGTTTGATCAGAATTGATTAAGCATGCTAAGCCTTTCAGTTATTCTAGTGTGGTTAAACATCATCTGCAAGAAAGGTTACTGTTCTCTGTTACATTATTTTCATGGATGAAAGTGAACATCTAAATTTATAATATTTTGAAATCTAAAATTTGAAATCTATGATTTAAGATTATGAATATGCCTCAATTATTTTTCTTATTTCCATACTTCCTCATATTATCCACATTTACAATTTGTTGTAAAAATGTAGACATAGAAAACATAGAATGTGACTTGAGATTTACTCTTAAACAGTAACCATTACCAATGTTTTGTATATATTTTAAGAATAATTTTTCAATGAATAGATCAATATGGAGATATATATATACACACATAACTAAAATTACGTATATAATTTAGAAAGATATAGCGATATAGAGAGGCATACAGTCACAGAAACACATGTGCACAGATATCTACTTAAATAAAATAAATACAATTTCATAATATTACGTGAAACTAATTTTATAGTATGTTTGTCTTCCATGTGAATAGTGGAGAGGATACATGATTTTGTGAGTCTAGTGTGCCATTAGGCATAGGTCTGATGCTTAGTTCAATGTTAAAGACATCCATTTGTTTACAGATCACTCATTAGGTCAAGGTACTTTTGAATTGGTGGTTGTCCCTGCCATATTTAGTATTATGCATTTTGATTAGTGCATATGATTGCATAGATATACTAACATTTATTTAAATAATTCCTTATTACAATATTTTTAAATGACAACGAGAAGGCCAACAAAGTTAAATAATTAAAAACCTCTATCACTGCTGGTAGTGTTTTGATTTTTAAGTGTGGTCCATGTTCCAGGAAGCTATTTCTGGGAAAATGAATAGATAGAGAAGAAATGTAGGAATAGGTGTAAGAGGAGCATTGGCCCTAGTCCACCCTGACATGCTCGGATGTTGCTTCTGTAGATACTAGAAAGTTCTGATATATAAATTCCTACATTTTTGGGCCACATACATTTAGAGCATTTCTTGGTAGTTCTGAGAACAAAATGAACAAAGTTTGATCCCAAAAAATATTGAGTGAAATATTTGCTTTAATCAGTGTCTTCAATGCCAGGACTATGTCTTATTCAAGATTGTACTCAAAGCACATGGAATGTGATAGATGAATTGCTGGTTAAATAAATTCAAGATGTACAGATGCCTCCATTGAAAGGGAATTCAACTATCATTTCTATTTCATATTATGTTTAGATGATTATAAGGATTCTCAAATAGGCATTTATTGCCATATTTTGAGGCCTTTAGGGATTAATACAGATGCCTTATTTATGACTTATATGTAACTATGCATAATTAATTATTACTGATAATTTCATTTGATCCAGTTAGTTTTAGTCTACCTGAGTTTAAAAGTATTTTAAATTAAAATATCTAAGCTAGATCCACAGTTACCAATGTGATATAAATGAGATAGGATGCCACTTTAATCCATTGAATAACACAGTTATGATCAAACATTTACTTAAATGGTGGAAGTGAAAATCAGTCTATCATTTTCTTTATTGCAGTCTATCAATTTTAAAAAGCAATTTGCAGCCCATTGTGAGAGATAGGAAAGAGTAGACTCCCTTATATAAAATTTTTGCAAATAAATTAGGAAATAATTAAAAATATCACAAAAATGAAGAAACTCCCTAATAAGTTAAAATCAATTTAATAATTTGAATTGAACAAAGATAATTGCATGGCAATTAAATATAATTTATTAAGCTTGATACTAGAGCTTATGTAGGCTATGATTTTTAAAATTTTTTTCAAAAAAATTGTTTTGAGAGAAAAATGTGAGTTTCCCAGATTTTTCTGTATTGTTTACATTATCTTTATTTTTAAATATATCATTAGTAGTTTTTAGGTGCGATATGTGATATAATTTGAATAAGACATGACAGCATATATGAAAATATATTTTGGTTGTAGTTAATTTTGATGTTATGGAGGACCCACTTTTTGAGTCATTTATTCTATTTAGTTTAGTAATACATGGGAAAGGCTTGTATGATTGATATTGTAAAGTAAACCAGTTCCCAAAGACCAATCAGTAAAGTTTTTACTTTTGTAACTAAAATTCTACTTGTAGAAATTTGTTATATTTTTAAGACACAAAGTCCAATTACAGATTGAATTATATTTTACCTGTTACATAGTAAATTGAAAGTTTATATTAGCTTATATTTATTTATTCATGGAGGTTGCAATCTATTTGGGAAGAAAGCTGGTAAACACGGGTGTAATTAATATTTTATAGTATTTGTAGAAAATTGTTAAAGAGAAAACATGGCAAAGGGATGCAGAAAAAAAATTGTCAAGAGATAGATGGTGGTTTGATATCTTATCTATTTGGCTAGGAAGCCCTTACTAAGAAGAATACTTTGAATAAAGACTGGGAGGAAGTGTGGATATGAACCATGTTGATACCTCAGGAATCATATTCCAGGGAGAGTGAAAAGCAAGTGCAAAAGTCCTAGGGAAGGAGCACACCTGGCCTATTTGACACATAACAAGAAGAGCAGAGCCAAGGGAAGTAACTGAAATGGAGTGTTATGGTCTGAATGTGTCCCCCAAAATTCATGTGTTGTAAACTTAACCTCCAATGCAACAGTATTGGGAAGTGGTGTCTTTTGGAAGGTGCTGAAATCATGAGGGTATGAATTACAGCCCTTATTAAGAGGGTTTTTGGGAGTGGGTTCATTTTATCTTGCCACCACATGAAGACCCAGCAAGAGGGTCCTCACCAGATGCCAGTGTCTCAATCCAGGACTTCTTAATCTTACAGCTGAACTGTAAGAAACGTGTAAGAAAATAAATTTCTGTAAGAAATGCGTAAGAAAATAAAGTGTAAGAAAATAAATTTCTGTTCTTTATAAATTATTCTGTCTGTGGTATTTTTTTATGGAAGCACCAAATGAACTAAGAAATAACATATAGGAGGTGAAAATGTTAAGAAATAATAGAAACCAGATCATGTGTAGATTCTGTAGATTTCTATAAGTACTTGGATTTTTCCTACAAGAGCATGGGTAGTATTTGATCATTCTGAGCAGAGGGTTGACATTATCTGATGTATATTTCAACAAGAAACTCTTGCCCCTGTTGCAGATAGACTGAAGAGGAGCAAGAACAGAAACAGGGAGCCAGCTACAGATCTATCCCGAGAGTTCTGAGGAGAGATGATGGTGTCTGCAGCAGATTGACAGCAGTGAAGATTGAGAGAACAGGTTTGATTCTGTATTTATCATGAAAATAAAGTTGGCGATACTGTTTAAGATATAAGTCTGATGAGGGAAAGAGATGGTAAAGGATAAATTGTGATTTTTGTATCCTAAACAATAAGAGGGATGCAATTGATATTCTCTAAGAAACAAAATAATTGAAGAGAATTGACTTGGACAGGAAAAGGAGAGAGACAGTAGAAATAAAGACCTGAGATTTAAACATTTATAGATTGAGATGTGGGGATAAAATGGAGTTGATGGAATATGCAACTGTGGAGTTATAGGGAGAGCTGTGTGCTGCAGGGATAAAATAAAAATTCCTATGAAATATTAGATTGCACTTCATGTGAAGAGACTGAATGTGAGAGAAAATGTTAAAGACACAAGGGCCAGGAACTGGAGCAATGAACACCTGTAGATGAAAAGCTGTGTAGAAACATGTAACTAAAGAGTGGCTGTAGTGGGAGGAGGAAGCTCCAGTGAGAGATTGTCTTGAAGCCTGGGAAGATGGATTTCAAGGAAGACACGGTCTTGAAATACATTTAAATTATGAAAACGGAAACTCACAAATACATATGAACATATATTTAACATATATTTAGGGGAAATTTCAAGTATAAAGAATTCATTTTCTTAAGTATGAAAATGTTCACCTTAAAAAACTTTTTACAGTTGCTTACTTTTTCTGATGTGTATATTTATGGGACTCATTCTATATTCAAAGTGATTCCATTTGTTTGTGTCGTCTATGATTTCTTTCAGCAGTGTTATGTAGTTTTCCTTGTAGAGGTCTTTTACCTCCTTGGTTAGCTCTATTCCTAAGGTTTTTTTTGTTTGTTTGTTTGTTTGTTTTTTGCTATTGTAAAAAAGGTTGAGTTCGTGATTTGATTCCCTGCTTGGTTGCTGTTGGTGTATAGAACTACTGATTTGTATACATTAATTTTGTATCTGGAAACTTTGTCGAATTCTTTTTTTAGTTCTAGGAGCTTTCTGAAGCAGTCTTTTGGGTTTCTAGGTAAACAATCATATCATCAGCAAACAGTGGCAGTTTGACTTCTTCTGTACCAATTTTGAAGCAATTCATTTCCTTCTCTTGTCTGATTGCTGTGGCTAAGGCTTCCATTACTATGTTGAAGTGGAGTGGTGAGAGTGGGTAACCTTGTCTTGTTCCAGATGTCAGAGGGAATGCTTTCAACTTTTCCCCATTCAGTATTATGTTAGCCGTGTGTTTGTCATGGATGGCTTTTATTACATCAATATGAGTTCAATATTAGAAACAAATGGAACATTCTTGATGCCACAAAAACAAATATTGCCACAAATTACTGGTTTAATCATCTGTGTATTTTATTAGTCAGTACACTTATTATCTTCTATTATATTTATTATGTTTACCTGAATTGGATAATTATTGCTTTTTCAGATCTGACTAGTTTACAACATAAAATATATCTCATTTAGTACTTATTCTTTTAAAATGTTGTTTCCTGTCAACCCCAATTCATCTTACAAATGATTATAATAAGAGAAAAGTAGACCAGATATGAAGTTTCCCCCTGCCAAGATATCAATTAAGAGACCGTATGTTTTTACTTTGCCATTTCCTAGTGATTTATGCCCAGACTTTGAATTGCAAGATAAATCATTAGAAACCAAGATAAAAATCTCCAGTTTCAGCAGAGTGTCTGAGGTGATTAGTAAGTTGTGAAACTGATATTTAAGCAAATATATTATATTACTATATTGCAAGATTATTTCAGTATTGTTCATGCCAATTAAAGTATTCTTTCATACAACTATCCCAAGACATACACACACACACACACACACACACACACACACACACAAACACACACATACACACACACACACATTCCATCCCCACCAACAATCACCTAATGGTTTTATAATCACACTGTTTATTAATCTAAAGAGGCAATAATCAGCTTGATTAACTAGTTCCTTATCATTCAAGCTTCACTCAGAATTTTACATTCTGATAAATTAGGTGATGTAGCTCTGTAACTCACTCTATGAGCAAAGTTACAATACTTCAAATATATTAATGTTTAAGTGCTTCATGTGAGTACATTGAATGCTAGTGTGGTAGGCAGAAGAAAGGTCCCCAAGGTGCTCACATCCTAATCCCTGCAACTTGTGATTATATTACATAGCAACAGAGGGTTATGGTTGCAGATGAAATTAAGGTTGCCAATCAGAGAACCTAAAGCAGGGGAATGATCCTGTATAAACTCGGCTGGCCCACTGTAATTCCAAGGGTCTTTAAAAGTGAAAGAGTGAGGAAGGGAGGAGAACAGTGATCCCATGTGAGAAGGGCTCAACTAATTTTGCTAGTTTGGTATATGAAGGAAGAGGGCCAAGTGCTTTGGTCAGAGTCTAGAGACTGGAAAAGATAAAGGAAATGAATTCTCCCCTAGTGCCTCTAGAACAGAACATATCCACACTAACACTTTGATTTTAGCTCAGTTGAGACTTATGTCAGACTTCTTACCAACAGATCTGCAAGATAATAACTGTTTCTTTAAACCACTAAATGTGTGGTATTTTTTTTAGCAGCAATAGGAAACTAATAAAACTAGCATATTGAGGTATATGAAGTTCTTGCATTTATATAAACAGCACATCACATGAATTCTCCAAGGAGAAACACAGAATGTTATCTAATCTATAATAATTATATGATTGATCTGGAATTCTTACATTGCTCAAAATTAAATTGATGAGAAAGTCATATGAAACCCAGAGGTTAGTTTCCTGAAAGATGTTAGTTTCTTTAAAAAGAAGGTACACTTTATTCCTAATGAAAGAAACCAATTTATCCTACCTAATGAATATATTCTTATCTCCAGTAATTATATGGTCTTACTGTTTGTGTGAGTTTATTGAACTTCCAGCTCCTGTGTCCAAATGTGATTAAAATAGTATTATTTTGTACAGTTCTAGGTAAATTATTCAATTATTCATCTATGCAAACAACAAACAAATTAAAATATAGAATATGTTGCAAAATAAACATATTACCCTCTCTGCTTTTTACTTTTGCAGCGCAGGAAATACTCAACTTTTGTACAATGTCATTTTTTAAAAAGTAGAATAAATCATAATAAAATATTCTATAGCTCAATTAAAAAATGTAACCTGGTATAATAAACAAAGATTGGCTTAGAATGAGAATATAGAAACCTGTTTGTGTTTACTGAGCAAACCAATTTTTAACTAAGTGACTACGATGTTGCTTAACCTTCTTTAAACTGCAAAATAGGGAGAAATTTATTCTCTCAGCTTGAATAGCCCTATCTCATGTTTAAATCATAACACCTATGAAAATGTTCATAGAAAAATGTCAAAAATTTTCAATGGTATAAAAAAAATAAAAGAATGGATTAAGGCAAATAATCTAATTAAATTTGGCTAATATGAATTTTATTTCTTTCTTTAATATGTCCCATGGATATTGTTTGCTTACACCTGGTTATAAAATCCCTCTTTAGTATGTGATTCTAAAAGCAGTCACATGACTTGACTACCTGCACGTGAAACAATCCTAGACACGATGGACTATGCAAATAGAGTGACATATACCAGACTTCTTTAATCTGGCTTGTTAGTGATCTTGGAAACACTGACACAAGTCATTCATCTGAGTTTCCGTATTCTTTATCAGACTGTCTCATTCAAATAATTGAATTCTAGGAAGCAAAAACGTGCAAATGAGCCAAAGCATTGGGGAATAACTTCAGCTAAGTGCAAAGCCTGTGAAAGCACCGGTTTGCTGAGATTACGTCAGCATCTGATCTGCTTCCAAAGAGCCTGGCTGGGTACTCAGAAGCAGAACCAACTCCCAGTCACGTGTTCATTTCTGACACGCGGGAAACGCCATTGTATTTTTCCCTTACATGTTTTACTTTCTGAATCATTGTTTCTGTACTTTTAATTTCTTAAGTGACAGGTGTTTATTGTAGCAAATCAAATTATACTTTATTCCCCTTTCTTCAATCACCGCCGAGCTGAAATATCTACAAATTGGATATCCACAAATGAACACTTTGTTTATCCATTTACACATTTTTCCATACATCTGAAAAACATATATATGTAAACATGCACACATTAATTTTATTCAGCTTTTTAAAAATCAAATATTATTTAACCCATACTACTCTACTTAATCTTTACTTAATATTCAATCATTAAAATCTCTATAAAACAATATATCAGTTTGATGCTTTCATGTCTTTATTTTTGTCTCCTAACTCATTTTCACCCGTTTCTTTCTTTATATCCTGTCATGCTGCCATGTTAGTCTTATCCTTTGAAATTTGTAGGTATTCTTTCTTTTGTTTTCCTATTTTCAACTCTATATCATTATATTTCTAACAATCTTATTTCTTTCCTCCACCACTCTGGATTCTACCAGTCTTTCTAATCCTTCCAATCCCCTCCAGTCCTCATTAATCCTCTTTTTTCAAAGACTGTCTACCTTCCTTATACTACTAAAGGATATGCCTAAATAATAGAGCCATCTATTCTCTGAGACCCCTCAGTAAGTCCAAATTTCTTCCCTGAAATGTTGCAGTTGACGATGTTCAATTGGTGATTTTTCAAGACTGTTGAAAGGTCATAACTATTAGTTGATTACCGTGTCCACTCTGTGTGTGTGTGTGTGTGTGTGTGTGTGTGTGTGTGTGTGTGTGTGTGTGTGTGTGTAGGAAATTATTTTTCCCCTCAATTCTTTTTTCTGTAACCATGTAGATTGCCAGAGTCTGTGATCTTTTTGCATTGTCTATGATACCTAAAGACCTTTTTTTTTATATCATTTTAATGTATTATGTAAAGTACAGTTTAAAATAGTTTTTTCATAGTTTTTAAGCAGAATTTATGAATATTTAATTAAGAATACTTTGAGATATTTAACACTCACTCAGGTAATAAAAGGGAAAAGAAGTTTGAAACAACAGGAATCAATAGAATATGAGTTTCAC